AAATATTTATATATAAATATTTAAATATATATTTATTATATTTAAATATTTATATATAAATATTTTTATTTTTTGTTTTGCATGTTGTTGGTCTTTAAATTAAAAAAAAAAATTACAACAAAAAATTATTAGAAGGTTGTGTGTATATCTGACACAGCCCATGTGTCATGCATTTAACAATGTTTTGAAAATGTTTTGTTTTTTAAATTTTCATAGGAAATGTAAGGTACATTAGATATGATTTATGTGGCAAAATTACCACCCTGTCCACTTTGCACCCAGAAGTAATCAATCAATCAATTGTAATTACTTAACAAAAATACAAATATTTGTAGCAAAAATAGCTAATCTCTGCTCTTAAAACTTTCCCTATTGGCTTATTGGAATGACACCTGTGTGAAGCAAAGTTAAACACAGCCTCCTGACATCATGGAAGTCAATAAGGACAAGTGATGGAAGATATTGTAAACTTGCCCAGGGAGCCAAGTTAAATATAATTGGATGCACACAAGTAGTATCCTCTAAAAAAAGAGCATCTATCTAAAAAAGAATCGTTAAACAGAAGGAGTTTGTCCTTAAGTTTTTGTGATCTTGGTCGTCTTAATCAATTAAATGTCTGTCTACGTTAAAGTCTTGCTAAGAGCGAGAGCCAGGACTGAGAAGTGGATGTGTGGGTGAGGGAAAGAAAGAATTATTACTGAATTATCACAGAACTCTGTCACACTTCTCCATAGACAGTACAGCCAAAGAGCAGGTCAGTGAAGAAAAGGAGAAAAAAAGTCTTTAAGTTATCTTTGCCTCTCAGAGTTAATAAAACATCATTTCTATGCCTGCTGGTAGCGAGAGTCAAAGTCAGCAACTTTATCTAATTTACATCGCATTTTTCCTACGTCAATGTCCCTGCATGTTTTGTAGCCTTTGTATCAGAACAAAGACAGACAGAAACACACACACACACACATTTACTCTTCAACCCTGAAACTTGTTGAAAAGCAAAAGTGAACAAAAGGGGCATTTTCATCACATTTAGCACACACGTCAAGTAAGGAAGCATCAATAGTGAAACCAAACGACCATTCACACACTCTCTTAAGAAGGCCATGAGATGTTTACTTGTTCCTGAACTCTTTTAAATTTCCGCTGATTGCATTTTAATGAATGCCGCCAGAAATAAAGACGATCTGAGGAAAAAAAGACGTCAAGATGTTCCGAGATGTGCTTCATAATTCATGCAGTGGCTCCACAGATCACACACACCTGTGTTACGGCCTCTCAGGGTGATCGAATGTGGCGCGATAAAAGGCGCGGTAGAGTTTTAGAACACTTGAGAGATAAAGACGGGGGACGGATTGTTTCCACTCTGGTGATGTAAATGCTAAAGTCTATTATAATGGAGGAAAGAAAACAGTAAACACTATTGGCAACAGCGAGGGGTTCATTGCTTTGCTCCTTGGGTGTGAGGGCTTTAAAATAAATGACGGTCTTATTTATCATAACAAAACAAATTCATTACTCTCGTCACAATATAAAAGCATCTTCCAACAAAAGGATATTTAAGCAAACTAATATCCCATATCTGGCGTAGGAATCGTCTGTCAAGTTTGTTTTTCATTAAAAACAATTTAAGAAATACGGTTGAGGGCGCATATATCTGCAAGTGTCTCACTGCATCACGGTGCACATGCTGGATTTAGACATTGTATACACATGTGGCAGCGTGCGCCATGGAGATATATGCATGTGAATGCCTGCCTTTTATTTGATGTGATGCGAAGCGTCAGTTTTGGCTGGTTGATATCTCTTCCTGATTTAATTTGGGTAAATAGTGTTTAGCAGCGCCCTGGGCCCTGAACGAGACAATCAAACAGACTGACGAAGGCAGGCCGAAGCATCCGCTGTCAATATACAGTTGCTATTTTCTCCATTGTTGGACACCTCCATTCAGGCAATAATTACACCCATTACAAAAGACACGAACACTTAGGTTTCTTTCAGAGCTGCGCGGATGAGGGGGTGGGAGTGGAGTGCGACGCTGCTGTATGTTAGTGTGATGGCAATTTTGTGTGTGTACGTGTGTGTCTTTGTTTGTGGGGGTGGATAAGTGGGTCGGTGTAAATGGATATTAGCTGTGTCTTTGTGTTTAATTGCCTGCATTTGCAGATAGTTCATATTAAATTTTTTTCCCAGGTTAAATACTGAGGCTTTAGCATTGTGTTTTAAGCATGTTTGCACATCAGGCTCCTTTGTGTTTGTGTGTGAATTAGCATTTTTAGCAACGTGGCATCACTTTTCAATGAGGTTGCAGCAGCAGCTATTGACCGACTACTGAAATTAATTTAATGAAGAGAAAAATTGTCATTGCCTTTGCTTGCACGTACTAGTAAATTGATTCTGGGGGTAACATAGGGTGGGGAGGTGTTAAAAAAAAGACTTTGTGCATGTGTGGACTTGGATGTGAGTGTGCTGCTGCCATTGTTTTCAAACGCCTTATTAAAGGGTTTATTAGACAGTTCCAAAGGGGCTCCCCTCCAAAATTGCTTTTGAGAGACAAACTTGTGACTTTGGGACTAATTGAACTTCACTGCCACGATGGATACTGCTCAATAGAAGGCACAGCTTAGGTATGCTGATGGCGGCGAGCTTTATCATGCAGAACATCAGTGTGGAACTGGTTAGTTAAAGCACTTTTTTCTCAAAAGCGGCTGCAGGAAAATGCAAAACAGCCCGAGCTGTTTGGACCGCATAAGAAGGTGCTCACTTGGTTCTTTATACACAGCTTTTTATGGCTTATATCATCCAAGTCTCTACTACACTGATCTTAATCAAACACACACACGCACAGATACAAACCTCGGCTTTGATATTGTTGTCTCCGAAGCAGAGATGCTGAAGGTAGGCTGCAGCGTTGGACTGCACCGATGGGAACTGGTGCTGCAACATCTGGATCACCTCTGGCAGCTCCGGATCTCTCCAACCAAACTCTCTGCACAGACACAGAAAGACAGAGACACTTTGATTCCTGCCGCACTTCAACAAAGCATCGAGATTACCTGAAAGTAGTCCAATAAAATCACAGACACCCAGACACATTCACACGTTCACTCGCATGGTTAAACAGTTTACACGGAGAAAAACAGACATATATAGACAAAAAGGCAGAGTATGAATGAGAGAGAAATTTAAATGTAAAAATCTGCTTTGTTCTGTTTTCAACCGAAGAGCTCGCTTCTTACAAGAGAGGGCTTCACAAGTTAAGCAACATAGCAGGACGGAAATGATTCAAATCAAACACTGACTGCCCAATTTGCCAAAACATTGTCATTTCCACCCATCATAGGAAAGTAGAGCAAGTGAAGATGAGGCCGGCAGGTTAAGCAGATGGCATTCATGAACACTTTTACAACTAAATGGAGAAAATTCTTTGCTCAAATTTTATTTACAATCAGCTCAATCAGAGTCGGGTTTCCCTTTGAAGAACAACACAGTGATTCTTGCAGAGTCCTTCAACTCTCTACGGCCAGATGACTCAATATATAGTAAATTCATAAAAGCTTTACAGCTGTGCTTTTAAGTAAGAAAACGGTAGGCAAGCGTCGCTCACAAAGGCTCCGAGCAGATCCAAGGAAAACACATATCACACTGTGGTCTGCACAGTCTGACTGGCGTGTGATTTTATGTGAAATGCAAACAACAACTTCAGAGATGAATGTTTTTGAACCAAAGTGGCTGAAAAATGAAGATCCTTGGGATTACAATGTTGAAGATAATTTCATTACAACCACGCAGTGACACAAGCCCAAAAATAGTTTTAAGGAAACTTAGAAAAAGGGATAAAAAATTTGAGGAATTGCACAGCACAGCATTACCACTGCCTGCATGCTGTCTGCAGTGTGAGTGGTGTGAGTTAAGTTCTATACTTTCTACCATTAGGAGTTTACACTCCTATGAGCACACTGGACAAAGTGAAATAAATGTTTTGTCCCTTGGTAATACCCAGGAAATGGTCTCCTTTATTGTATTATCCCCTGCTGATAATTGTTTTGCTACAGTCCCCCAAATGAGAAAATTATGACTGTGCAAGAAAGTGTGGGCGACTGTGTGTGTGTACAGTCGTGCACCAGTGTGTGTCTCCACCCTCTACTGTAATATTTTCTCCAATAACCACTCTGTAAACTGTTTCTCTGTGACTCCCTCCCCCTCTCTCTTTCTCTCTGTGCTTTCAGAAAACTGTCAACTCTCAATGCCATCTGAAGAAAACCTATGTTGAAATTTTGCCGCTCCCATCGATTGTGGTGTTTGAGGATTGATTTTGTTGTTTCTGCCTTCATGCTCACTGTTCTGTGCCAAAATGCAGCTCACTGTAATCCCCGTCAAGCCATCGTGAAAACCGTTGATTTATTTTGCCTCCGAGCTCAGCCTCCCCAAACATGAAAATGTGGTAAATACGGGACAATTGCCCTGCTTGGAGAGTTAAAATTGATGGGGCAGAGGATTGTGCGTGTGCCTGAAGTTGCTGCGGCAGAAAATGAAGCCTCGACACTGTACTCTCATCTCTGTCAGATCAAGCGAACGCGGTCCACGAAACATCTGTGAAAAGCAGAGCGTTCACGGGGAGTAAACATGGCTCTCAAAGATAAAGCAAGCTCCAGCGTGGACGGCTCTTTATCTGCCGAATGATAAGTGTTCGTTCAGCCAGAAAGCAGGACTGAAGGAGGGAGGTAGAGGAGAGATAGAGAGAGGGAGGAAGAGGGAGGGATTCCCAAGGCATTTAGGGGATTTAGGAGGAGAGACCCTCAAACAACGGCCCTTAAATCACACAGCCAGATACCATCAGGCCAGTTTGTTTATGTGTGAGTGTGTGTGTGTGTGTGTGTGTGTGTGTGTGTGAGTGAGTGTGTGGCAAGATTAAGATAGGATCATGATGTGAGTTTATGTGGACACAATTGCCTCTGTGCCTGTTTGTCTCTGTGTGTCCGGCAGTGTATGTGTGTGTGTGCAGAAGTGTACTCAGATTCATCAGCCTGTACTTCCATGTATATCTGACGATGTGTTAATGTGCATGGCCGTGCATGTGTGTGTTGCGTGTGTCATCCATCCCCTGCAGCCTCCCAGCTCTGTCAGTGTAGTTAATAGAAAGCAGAGTGATCTGCTGATAAGATAAGCATCGTGGCTCGCCATTAATTAAAAACCCCTGGTAGGGAGAGAGACAGAGTGAGAGGAGCAGATCGGGAGGAGTGAAACACAGAGGGAGAATGAGAATGAGGAAGCAAAGTTACAGGGAAAAGCCGAAGCCGAATGCAACTGTGGGTACAGCGGGCAAAGAGGAAGCTGGGAGGAGATGGAACAATACGAAAAAAAAAGGCATAGAGAGAGAGGAAAACAACTCTCAGATGAGATGCCAGTCATGTCAACACAGGTGCTAATGAGAGCTACAGCCCTGGTAGATGCACCGCTAGGCGACAAGCCAGCGACGTGAAACAGCGGGATGCAAACAGAGCGGGATGCAGCCCGCAAAAGGGAGAACTGATCAAAGAGGCACTGCCAACAAAACTGCCGAGCTCACACTAAATACCCACAACTTTTGAGGAATCTGCAGCACAATATGCTGCCGCTTGTGTGCCATATTCTTTATGCTGTTATTTTATGTCTTGTGTGGTAATAAATGCCACACTGAACAATTTGTTGACTTGCCTATTTCTTTATTTTGTTTTAGAACCTGGGCTACGTGTCCTCGGTACGACACGCCAGTGGGTACGAGAATAAATTAGGGGGCACTGTTGGCGCACAGAGCTCCATGTTCCTGGTTAGACGGGTTACTTTGCCATCTCTTGAGGCATGCGGAGGCGTGATGCAGCGAAATACTTTGAATGGAAACACTAGGTATGGCAGGAGAGCAGTCTGACATAGTGAGAATAAAGGCAGGTGGCAAGGGAGATTGTGGGGGAGGGAGGGTGGAGGCAGAGACAGAGTGATATAACTGGGACATAGGAAAAGACTGCTGTGTGATGGTGGGGCTTTGATGCAGGCAAACACACACACACACACAGGCATGCACGCACACACACACACACACATGCATGGGCGGGAGGCAAAATGTGACACAACACATGAAAATGCAAGGATTATCAAAGGATTTCTCTCTTTTCATAAAACTTCTCTTCATATCTCTCTCTTTTCATGCCCAGGTCTCATGAGACAGCCGAACCTCTATCTGAAATCCCAACATGACCACTGATACACGTGTGTAGACACACACACACAGTGAGAAAACAAAGCTCACCTAATCTGAAAAACCACTGATTGGACACACACACACAGAGCTGATTTCCACACAAGCTGCTTGATTCCCCTGGCTGAGGAGAGCTGAGGGTGGAGGGAGACATGAGTGACAGCAATACATCTCCCCTTTGTTGCATCCTTTATCATCATGTTCCCTGTATCCATGAACTCAAGTGGGTGAAATGTCAAAGGCAAAGTGTGTAAGGATGAATTATGCACTGAAGAATGTGATACATGGCGACAAAGCTTTAAAAAAAAGATGAGTGTGATTGGGTTATGAAGTTTAGTGTCTCATGTTCATGAAGAGTCAAACTGTACATAAAGGCAGCTGAGTGGAATGGCCTTGGATACAGTCACTATGAATTAAACACTTAAACAGGGAGGTGGTTGACGTTGGTAATCAAACAATACCCTGAGTGAGGAACTGATTTCTGAGCTACAAGATGTCAAACACACACGTGCTTGACTTTAACTGGTGAAAAGCAAGGCACGGGATGGGTCGTCTACTACAAAAAATAATAATGTCTGGGTAAAAAATCACTGTATCACGTACATAAAATGAAACCGTGCTGTTTAAATGTTGCCTCAACTGGTTAGTTTTAAGCCACCGGGAAAAAAAAACAAAGTATATCCCTCTCACCCCGGCATCTCATGGGGGTGGTACTGTGTCTTCCTCAAGCTCAGGACCTCTACCAGAGGCTTGGGAGTTTAAGGGTTCTGCGCATTATCTTAGCTGTTCCTTGGACCACACTCTTCTGGACAGAGACCTCAGATGTACCTGGAATCTGCTGGAGCCACTCTCCCAGTTTGGGGGTCACAACCCCGAGTGCTACTGTTGCCTTTACTCCCCACATCTTTTCTAGCAGCTCTCTCAGCCCTTGGTATTTTCCAAGTTGTTCGTGTTCCTTCTTCCTGATGTTGCTGTTACACAGGTGCAGCATTCCAACAGCTCCTCTGTCCATCTACGAAATGTTCCAGTAGCCCATTTGTCATCAGGTTGACGCAGACCTTGTTGACCCAGGCGAACTCTTGTGTTTGTGGTTTCACTCACCCTGAGGTGGGCTAGCAGCAGTAAGGACCTTGCCTAAGGGTCCAGACTGGATATGTGTTACCTGCCCTGACCTGGAATCGAACCCCCCAGTCTCCCATGCCAAAGTCAGCCTTAACCACGCTACTTGTTTTTACAATATATTCTTTTACTGCTTTACCATGATGTCAAACAGCACTTTGAACAGGGAACTGAGGCCATACTGGACTTCATTAAAGAACAGTAATTTTACTTAACAAAACACAGGAGTTGCTGGTCTACCGCTGCCTCCATTAGTTGGTGTGTAAGGTAAAGTGGAGAAAATACTCCAATAGTGGCCACTTAGGTTGATAATGACCTTTTTAGTTAACTAAAATATATTTTGCTGTGACCCCTGTCCAAAGCAGTACATTGCTTAGCTTCCATGTCGGTAGATTTTGTTTATCAAAGATACCAGCAAAACAACACAGCATTTAAAATAAGTACAACAGAAACGTCAAATAGGTCAGACCACTATGTTTAACTATACATCTTTAAACAATGCAGTTACAGCTGGAAATTAATTCCAAAAACCCTCAGAGTCACTGGGTCCACGTAAAAGAAGGCACTCAAGAATGGGAGCTTCTTGCTGTGACTCAGAAGAAGAGGCCCAAAGTCGGGCAACCAAGGATCCTAGG